TTTTTTTCTTTTTTTTCTTCTTTTTTTTTTTGCTGCCCCTCCATTTTTTTTTTTTATTTTTTATTCCCTCCTTTCTTCTCAAACCCCCCCAACCCACCCACACCCCACACACACACACACACACCCCCCCAATTTGAACAACCCGACCGTGTTTTCCTGCGAGGCTCGGGACTTTGTGGGGGGGGTTTTTCTGACTGCGGTTGTTTCCATGTTTCTAGGTTTGTGTGATTTTGCTAAAATGCATCACCAACAGCGAATGGCTGCCTTAGGGACGGACAAAGAGCTGAGTGATTTACTGGATTTCAGTGCGGTAAGAAACAACGGTGGAAATTAACAACAGCTGTAAAAAATATATATATATATAATCTAGCTGATCTGTTAACTTAAAAAAAAAACCCCCCAAAAAAACTAAACCAACACCAAACTGTGCTCTAAGTCCATCGGGCTGATTTTTAATCAGCAGCTAGAACCGTGGTAAATATGTTTCTTTTTTTAAACCCCCCCCCCCCCCGACAAAACAGAACCCAAAATGAGAGTGTTTTTATTCTTGTTGTGTGTGGTGGGAGATGCAGCCGCGGGCTCAGCTTGTTGGAATGTCTTTGGGTGTCTGAAATAATGGCTAAAAACGCCCCTAAAACTGAGCGTTTCTCAGCCTCAGTTAATAATACCTAGCACTTTTATTATTGTGCTTTTCCATTTTCTAGCGTTGTTGGCACATGGGCTAATGAATTGCTGATTAGTTGCTTATATTCTGCTTTCAGTTCTTCCCTTGTTTCGTGGGGTTTGTTTTTTTTTGGCACGTGGGAAGTGCAAAGAAATCCGGGACCGTCTCAGTTTAAAGTTTGCACTGAAATCTCGTAGGGCTTCTGCTGTCATTAAAACTGCTCCAATCTTTTTTCCCCCCCCCCCAAGCTCCACGGTTCTTTTTATTTTTGCCTTTATTTTTTTGTCTTTTATGGGAAGGGGGGGGGGAAAGGCAAAAAAAACCCTCCTTTGAGTCTCTTTGGGCTGGTTTTGGAGGCCAAACCTTAATCCGGACGTGTGCACTTGTCTAGTTTTGTCAGGCTCCCCCCCCTCCCAGCCCCTTCCTTCCTCTCCCCATCCCCTCCCTTCCCCCCCAATATGTCAGGAGTATCTCCCTCAGCCCCTTATTTATTTATTTAAGGGGAGCATCACTTTTTGCTGGGAGATGCCTGGACGTTCCTAAAGACCAGCAACACCCCCTGGACACCCCCCCAGACCCACACACCCCGCGTGGCAATGGGGCTGCTTCAGGCTGCTGCTGCTGCTCCAGCCTCTGCTTGGGAGGGATGGCTTGGGGAAGTTTGGCCAGGAAACGTAGCCTGAGGCAGCTTTGCAGCCCCCTCTTTGCTTGTTGCACTTTTCCCCATTTGTTCCTTGGCTTTTTTTTTGCAGGCTCTGACTCAGGGAAGGTGCGTATTATCCACTAGACACGTCGGAGAAGAGAGAAACCAATTAGGGTCGAAATAAATGCTGGGGAGAGAGAGAGAGGGAGCGAGAGAGAGGGAGGGAGAGGGAAGAGAGCCTTGCTTCAAATTGCTCTCGTGTTAGAGACGAAATGAGAATTTAGGGCAGGTGGCACTTTGCATTGTTATTATTTGGGTGCACGTATGCCAGGCAGCCCCTAGAGCGGGATGGAAATGGACATTGCTACGTTTATGGCCAAGGTTTCAACCAAAAACCAAACTTTTTTGTTTTTTTGCCTTTGTCAGCCTGAGAGTTGGAGATGGGAGCGAGTCCTGCCTCCCAGCCTGGCTGACGCTGCTGGGCGCTGGGATGGCTCGGGCTCTTCGGGAAGCCAGTCTTGCTTGGGGAGCTAATGAGCCTAATAAACCCGTGGTGAGGGGCTGCTGGGGGCTGGAAAGAATATTGCCTGGTTTTCAGCTCTGGGGGGGGATGATGTTTCGTGGCAGACAAACTATTAACGTAGTTCCCAGCGAATGTGGAAGGAACTTTTTGACTAACAGTGGACTCGGGAATCTCTTGCTTTCCAGGAGTAAATGCCTCTTTGTTTTTTTTTTTAGATGTTTTCACCTCCTGTGAGCAGTGGGAAAAATGGACCAACTTCCTTGGCAAGTGGACATTTTACTGGCTCAAGTATGTACATTTTTTTGTTTTGTGTGTCGTTAGAATACTGTTAGTTATTTATCCATAAGCATTACCTTTGTTGTGCTGGTTGTGTTAATCTCTTCTGGGGAGCAGATCCATTCAGATCTGAGTGGAATTATTCCTAAGCACTGGCTGTTATTATTATTATTATTCTTATTTCCCTAAGACTGGGACATTTTCAGAGTGTTTCCATATATTTCTGATTTTATTTTTTTTAAAGCCTCAACTTCTCCTCTGTAGATTTGTTCAAGGTGAACTCGTTGAAAAAAATTTTTCCTTTCCATTTATAAAGTTGAGCATTGGGTATTTTTTATTTACAATTTCAGATGCTGGTTTTTGTACGTCAGGAAAGATAATCAGAACACGGTGTGTGAGAATTAGTTTTGTGAATAAGAATTGAAGGCTTCTCAAATGAAATAAATAAATGAGCAAGTATCTTTTTGAGTATAAACACCAGGCTCTTTGGGAAAAGAGCTCTTTGGTATTAGGGATCTCTGCTCGCTGATGGAGTATTAATTTCTGAATTAAAATCTTCAGGCTACTTTATTTTCCTGGTGGGAAACAGCAGCGTTTTATTTCTAAATATTTAACTGCTTTTGAAGAGTCCCTGCAATTTTCACTGGAGGATTTGTTTGCTTGTATGTTTGTTTATTTGGCTGTAGCTGTACTATATGGGCAACTTCTGCATTCCATAAAAACAGGAGTTTGTTTGATGACAAAGGAAATATCAGAGCTCTTTGCGGTAGAACACACGAGTACAATAATTGTCTGGCAACTGGAGTTTTATATAGAGGCTTTTATATGCCTGACAAATTAGAAGGAGAGCTAGCCCAGACACTTGGGCACTGGAAATTTCCTTGCTCTTCCGTGAAGTTGGTTGCAGAGGGTTCCCTGCCTTGTGGCTGTGGTGTGTGGGACAGGACACACAGCCACCTCGGGGCAGAGCCGTGGTTGAGGAGCCCAGGCAATCCCACATACCAGCAGACTGGATGTAGGATTGTTACACACAGAGGGCTGCTCTAAATCAGAGGGGAAATTTGGACAAGTCTTCCCTGCAAACTGCCAGTGGATATCTAGATGTAAACACGTCATTGCGTATAGTTTCACGCCTGGTATTTGCAGTTTGGTCTCAATTAAAGGCACCTCTCCTGTGTATTCGGTGTAGCTTTTTTTATTAAATGCACTAGTATGTCAGTTGACTCTTTATTTCCAAAGAAGGGCTTCCTAATTTGAAGGTAGTCAGTAATTCCAGTTTTTTTGAGATACAAGATCAAATGCCGCCTACGATTGTTAAGCGCTCATTTAGTGAATGTTGTTCTGGTCAGACTTAGGAAAGAATAATGGGTTTTACCTTCACAAATTTGGTTATATTATGAATATAGTGACTTGGGGAATTTTACTGTCAGGTTTGCATAACTTTCTAAAGGGAGTTTGCTTCCTATCTCACAAGCTAAAGATTTCAGCCCTGTTTTTTGTTATTTTCTGAATTACAAAATTTCAGTAACTGATTTAACTGAATACATAATATTCACTGTATTTGTTTTCACTAGAGAGAAGCAAAGAGTGTTTGTGCCAGACAAATCAATTTGTCATGCTTATATACCAGTCAATGCAGCAACTAACACTTGGTCTAACAGCAATTGACTAGATAGTTGTATTCAATAAATGCCTCGTAAACCTCATCTATGGAGTCATTTTGATCAGAAATACCACAGGGCAGCAAATCTGAGCAGTGAGTGAGATTGAGAGCTTATATTGTCTTTTATTGTGTCTCAATCTGAAAGCATTAAAATAACTTGGACACATCATTTTGGGCAGATGAAGAACTTAATCAGCTGAAGTCAGTTAGTAATATTTAAGATACAGACGATTTAAATTAGCCCCTGAACTCTCCCACGCTGGGCCAACGTGTAAATGCTCGAGCAGACCAGGCTGCTGGTGGAGGATGAAGTGCCCTGCTTGGTGTGTTGGGAGCTTTCCTGCACGGGGTGTGCAGCACAGGGTGTGCTCTTCCAGGGAGATCCCTTTTCAACGTCCGATGCTGCTGCTTGGTCATTCGAGAGCTCTTGCAGAGATCCATCAGCGATTGGAAAAAGTTGCCAGAATGTGGGTCCCAGGGAGGGGACGTGCTGGGCACAGAGGGGGTTGTGTGGCCCGAGGACAGAGGTGCAGGCAGGAGAAGCGTGGCTGTTGTTTCCCTGGGCCCTTGCTGGCCAGCAAGCTGTGTGCCAGAGCCTGCCTGCTGCCGGGGAACGGGGTGCCTGGGGAACGGGGCAGGGCTGGGCACGTTCACATTTGATACAGGAGCGCCCAGACAACGGCTGCAAGGGATGCTTTTTTTTCTGTAACTGGGTGGAAGGATTCAAGACAGCTCCATTAATAACATGTGAGCACAGTTTCTAACGATGCGTATCGATAACGCGCCCCGTTCTTCGTCCTGGCCAGACACCCTCTCAAGTTTTGAGCTGATCTCTGAATGGTCCTCTTTTTAAAAGTCTTCTTTACTGAGGAACCACAGGTTTCATTCTTCTGCATTAACTCAAAACTTCTCTCTTGGGGGAGGGGGAAAAAAAGGCACACACACACAAAAAAGACCCCAAAGCAAAGTAATGCCAAGGAGTGAAGTGAAACTAACCGGCCTTTAGGTAGTGTGGCCATATTTCATGCTTAAAGTCACCTTAATAGCTTTTTACTCATCTAATATATGATGCTCTATTGTGATTTGTAATGTGTGAATGAAAATAAAGCCACATTTCCTTTTAATCTTTAATTTCACAAACATGGCTTCTTACCATGTTAAAAAATGGTGAGGGCTGCAAGGGAGAAAGGAATGTAACCTGAGCCACAGCCGTGACATTCCCATGGAGCATTTTTCACATGAAAGGCTTTTGTCAACCCAGTAAAGGACCAGGAGTTTTTGTTTGATGTTTGCAGGTGTTCAGCAGAGAGCACTAAAACAATTCAGCCATGCTGGTCTAGAGACTCTGACCTTAACAGGGGGAACTGGGGAGGACTGAAATTATTTTTAAGAAAACTCTCCTGCAGTTACCTCAAATTTATATTGTATTTGTAAAGTGATTTAATACCTGTTACTTAGGCTGAGTAATACACAGCCAGTAGAATGAAGTGGGGTTTGGCTTTTTTTTTTTTTTCCCCATCTTGTTTTTATTTTTTCCTTTTCTTAGGATACTTGCCAGAATAAAATTCATTTTCCCAGATCTTCTACAATTTTCTGAGTGATTTACCTTAGCTTCTGTAGTCACAGCATTTGTCATAATTTAGGTGCAGGTCACTGCAAAAGAAGGGGAAGGTGGTGATTGCTGGGGCTTGATTTTGGGAATTGATTTGGAGGCAGTTTTTCAACAAACGTGGTGCTAAAGAATTTGCAAGGTCTGTCACGTGGCATATTTCAGTTTTTGCACTGTTAATCAAAGCCCACATCTTCCTGATTCTGTTCAATTTCTGCTGCTTCTATTTTAAGTATTTAATTGTACCAAAGTTTCCAGGCATCTGTTACAGGTTGCCCACCATGTATGTGTTTGAATATTGTGTGGGTGTGGGAGCAGCAGAAGAACTGAATTCTTCCGACCGGCCGCTCCAGTTGCACACAACAAAAATTAATAATCTATAGTCTTTGCTAGCACAGACATCACTGAATAAAGCTAAGTCAGTTTAAAGGATTTAAATACTCGCTTTTAATTTTGCCATTAGTTTGATTAGGGCTTGTCCTGCATTAGAGTAACAGTGATTACAAATTAATACATCTTTAACTAGAGAGTCACAAATTCAGCTTGGCTTTGAAGTCCGTTTTTTTTTAAATTTATGTTGGATGTGTCTGTGAGTAAATTATAACCAAATACAGGGTTTTTTTTCAGTTCATTTTTTAGAGTGTGGCTTTCTGGGAAGGGTGCATAATTTTGCAGTTATTGGTGGATGATCAGAAAAACTGGAGTTAAATGCAGTGTCTGTTTGGCAAAGCTTTTGGTAGCCGCTCAGGTTAGGCAGAGCTCTGGGTGCCTGCACAGGTCCTGTTAGTGTCAGCAGGA